TTTCTCTTTGTTCTTATATAAAATTGTTAAAAATATAAACAATAATTATATAAAAATATATTTTGATATTACCTAAACCCTCATCCTTTCGCATCAGAGCTTGAAAATCTACAGATACACACAAAACTTAAAATGTAACATAACTGTAAGTTATCTTACGTTATGTTACATTTTAAGTTTTGCATCAAAATATCTTAAAAAATATAAAAGATGCGGAAAAATGTTTTAGATGAAAATTATACTATTTTAAGAAAGACAAATAATGATAAAAATAACTTAAAAAGTAATCAATTTTTTATAAAGATCGTATAAAGGATACCGCCATTTTTTAGAAATCGAATTATAAATTACATACAATTTTTACATAGTATGATTTGTTTTATTATTTTGCATCTAAAAGTATTGTAAATCTATAAAAAATTCAATAGTTTACGATATATTTTATGCTTTATTACATCATATTTCGACATAAAATATTAAATATTTCATAAACTATTGAAGTCTTGATAATTGTGCCTTAATACTTTCATGCACAAAATAAAGGAGATACATTGATTGGTGTAAAGAAAATACTAATTGTAAGTTGATTTTTTAAAAATTTAGTTTTATATCATATATTGCATATATTCTTTAGAAGCAACTGAGTGTTTTTTTATTACAACTGATTATCATATATTGAACTCATTTTTTTTAACTTAAAAATACTAATGTCAGAAATAATTATCAAGAAATCAATAGTTTATGAGATATTTAATATTCCATGTCGAAATATGGCATAATAAAGTATAAAATATCTCTTAAACTGTTGAATTTTCTCTAGTTTTACTAATATTTTTATATACAGAATAATTAAAGAAGTTATATTATATAAAAAAATTATATAATTCAATATAAAAAATGGCGGTACTACTATTTACATGATCTTGAAAAATTTATTTTTTCAAAAAAATTTTTATTGTTATTTGTCTCCCTTCTAACTGTAATAAAACTTTTATTTCAAACATTTTTCCGCATCTTTTATACTTTTCAAAATATTTCGAGATATGCAAAACTTAAATTGTATACATAGACCTGCAGCTTCTAAAGATAAAAACTACGAGAGCTTAGGAAATATCGAAACATATATTTTTATAAAAACAAAGAGAAACCTTGCATACATGGTTCAATAAAGTGATAAAATCAATCGTTGCTTTTTTTCTGTTTAAAATGTGAAAAAAATATTTCCGAATACTAGGATGATTTTAACTACGACTTTTGAATTAAGCATACGAAATTGAGTAAGAAAAAAGATAAATCCAACATTTCCCAAATCGCCTAAAATGCATGAACTCCTTTATAGAAAAAATTTGATCCTCTCCATATACATCAAAGTTGAACCTTTATTCTACAATTTTTCAAGATTTAATTTTAATTAATATTGTTTGTAAAATAAAGTAACTACAGAGACATGGGGTTTAATTAAAATATATTCAAAAGTTGAGATTTTAAGTTTTAAAACGCTATTTTATTTATTGATTTGCAATGTTTTTGTGCAAAGATATATAACATTTATTTAGGTTCTTTTTGCGCTGATTATATTAATGATCCGTTCATTTTACTGAGTATAGTGTTATAGAGTGTGTGTATGTACATATTTTATATATATATTGTCACGAGCTCCCGTGAGTCAAGCAACTCACACGAGCCCGGATCAAACAAGATTGCGGAGATCTCGTGCGATTCCGCGGAGGGAGGGTGACAGTCCTCCGGAATTGTGTCCCTCCGGCGACCGACGAGGAGCGGCAACGCGAAAAGCTGGGCGCCAGACGTGTTCTCGGTCACGTCACTCGCGAAACTCAACGATTACCGAAATTCTCACACGCAACGACACTTGACCCGTAAACGCCGCTCCCGAAGTCGATCGCACGAGGGCTCCGCCTAACGGCAGAGAGGCAGGGCGAGGAAAAGGGGCGATGGGATGGCGCGGGGCGGGCGAAAGAATTCGTACTCCAACCGATTAATAATAACAAAATAATAACAGATTTATTGGCCGTTCGGAACGGCGATAATAAACGGTGAAGAAAAAAAGGAAAATAAGATAATGCCGTTCGGCCGGAGAGATCCGTGACGCGATCGATTCAACGTGCGGGGTGTCCGACGGCGCGATGACACACTCCCGCGTAGCAAACGAAAGGACAAGAAACCGACATAAACTTCGGCCGGAAACGAAAAGAAGCGCAGGTGAAACGCGACGGCGCGATAGTACAATAATATACGGGGCTCGGTACGACGCGGGTACCGAGGTCTAACGACAACAATTAATACGGCGAGAGTCAATCGTAAATCTGCGCGTCAGATACTTGTACGGAAACGAAGTCGACAGAAAATTAACACACACCGATACGCAAGGAAATCACGCGCAAGGTCACGCTACAGCGCGACGCGCGACCTCGTGATTCCGCGTACTCACTCACACTTAATCTAACGCTCGCGCGCTCGGGCGCGAGGGCTTTGCGGCGAACTCGCGACGACGATCTCTGGGCGGCTCGACACGCGACTCGCGACACTCCCGATCGCTCACGGCAGAGTCGATGAGAATCCTCGCACTTGAGGACGGACGCCGGACGCCAAACCAAAGAGCACTACAAGATACGCGTCGCCAAAGGGGCGCACGCGACGAAGCTCCGACACACAAAATGGCGTTTCCGTCCGCAGAGTGCGAGCAAGATTCTCACTCAGCCCGTGGCCTTACACACACGAAAAAGAGGGTCACCTCACCGGCACACTCTCCGTCTCAGCTTCCGGGACAGGTCCGACAGCCGCTCGTCTGCTTCCTCCTCGCTCGCTATCGCTCTCTCGCTCGCTCTAGATCTCGCACGCCGGATCGACCGCCCGCTTACTCGGTCCGCACGCAAAAGCGGCGTCGATCGCGTTCGATCGCGGATCGATGCTCGCACCCCCAGCCCGGGGGTGCGCAGCACAGCGGCGCAGTCGGCCGCGACCAATCATGGCGCCGCGGGGGTCCTGCCGTGGCACGGGCGTAATCAGGTGGCCTGACGTGTGGGCGCCTCGCGCCCTCGCGAGGGCGCCCTATTTCCGGGATGTGGCGGCGTGGCTTCAGATGGGCTTGTCCTTGGCCCTTGTATCGCGAGGCGAGTTGGCCATCTCGCCCCGGCAGCTCGCGGCGATGACCCCGGGCCCTGGGGAAATCGCCGGCCGTATCGCCCTTCGCGGGCCTCCGTTCCAACGCCCGCCTTCCCGGTAGCGCTCCTGACGGATCTAGTGTCCTTGCGCGGTCACGCGCTCCGCGTGTGCGCACTCTGCCACCTGTTTGCCGCGTGCCCGGTGCGTGCCCCCGTAGTTTCGGCGCCCGGTCGCCCGTACTCCATTCGTCCGGTGAGGCGCCGCGGTACATGCAAGAGGTTCAACGCAAATTAATCAAATGCACGCGTTTTACATTCGGGCCTCCCGGAGATTTTGGTCTCTTATCGATGCTGCAGCTGCCGGCTCCGTAAAAAGGGGCGCGAACCCGCGCCTTGTGACGGCGGCAGGACGCTGCTCCGTCGCAGCGGACTGCGGCGTCACAATATATATATATATATTGCGACCGCACTCACGAGCGTGGTGCAACTTCGTCGCTCGTCCGACCCGCGTAATTCCGCGAAAACGGTAAACGGGAATCTAATGCGCGATTAACTGTAACTCAGGCATCTCGCCTATCGGAAACGGGAATAAAGTTGGGCGCCAGGCACGTTATAGAGAGTGCCTCTCTACTGAAAAATCTCGTTGTTCTGAAATCGAATGACTCGAGAGAAGATTAGTCAATCACACGATCAAATGCGAATTTAATGCAACGGTCGGACAAGGACGGCGATAACCGGTTGCTCAGTTACGATAATGGTAAAGGGGGTGAA